AACTTTTAGCAGTTATGTATAAATTTTAAAAATAATAAAACTTAAATGGCTCTTTCGTAATTTTATCATAATTATATGAAGTTAGCAAAATTTATGCTGAAATATTTGTCGATTTCTTAGAATTATATTAAATACATTATCTTCTATATTAAATACATTATTTTCTTTATATTTTCATGTTTACTTATATTTTTTTTAAACACTAAAATATTATTGATCTTCAAATCTGTTCTGTCGTATGTTTTTCCAACAAAAAAAGCTAATTCTAAGAAAAATTTGTAAGAGTAGAAAGTAATGGAATTTATAAGTAATGAAATCTATAAGAAGTAATGGATTTTACATTTTTTATATATATTATATGAATATATTATACGAAGAGCAGCATGAAATATGTACAATGTGCGAACAGAACGTTTTGTGAGATTTTCCACTACATCGTATTTGATGATAAAATCGAATCAAATAGCCGGTGATTTTCGTTACATCAATTTGAAGATTCAAGATGTGCGTTTACTTAACGATTGAGCAACTACTTGATAGCGTAATAGTGTCGTCGCCTGCGATCCGTCCGCGTTTCTAAACTAATCTCTCGACAGAATTGCGTTTGATTTTACTAAAGTCTTCGATCGAAATATAACGCAAATCATTTTAACGTTAGGGCTTGAGCATAAAAATTGTCGTAACTTGTCGTAACTGTTTCTGACCAAATCATAATTTGACATATAAAGATTTATCGTAAGAGCAACAGCACAATATAGTATCGGCTATTGTGACGTTTATAGAAAACAATTAAAATTGTTATAAAACTAGTCGCTCGAATCAAAATTTTTTGCATCATTGTTTATGAGTTTCCAATAAAATTATTTTGATAATTCAACAAAATTATCTTTATTATCTATTTCCAGTAAAATTTTAAATCTTTCAGTTAAATAATTTTTTTTTTTTATGTGTTCATTGCGCGATTATCCAAGGGATTTTTTATAAACAACACAACAGTTTGGCCGACACTTTATCTATCGTGTGGTCTTAACTTTATGACAATTTCTGTGCTTAAGTTTTTATTTTTAAACTACTGAAACACTATACGAAATTCATGATGTCTCATCGAATTTTAATGATCAATTTACCGAATCGAATTTTCAGCAAAAGATTTTGCGTTCGCCTCTTTACGTTCGCCAAGCATCACTTGTCTCCGTGCAAAGCGTCTATCATTGTCTCGAATCGCTCATCAAGTGATTTTGTGCAATTACGATATTATCCGCTTCCACTTGCACTTTATTCAGGCCTCACTTTCCTCGAAGAGCAAGAGGAGCGACCTTTGCAGAGGTCGTCGAGACTACGCTCGAGTTTCACCGACACAGCCGGCACTCTCATCTCACCGACGCCAATTCTCTTGGTGCAGTGTTGGGATTATTAACTCGCTACTTCCTTCTTCCCGCGTTATAACGGAATTAATAATCGCAAACGACGTTTATGCACCAGACGAGAGAATCGGTACGAATCCCCTATTGTTTCTTGGACATCATCAGCTCTTTGGATTGCGGCTGATGAATAACTTAACGGCGAGTATGGCTTCGTTAGCTATTAAAGGGAACGGAGTAAAAGCAGCCTTACATCCAAGAGGAAGAGCACGTCCTGGGAGGTCTAGGTTGTTCGTGGATCATTCGCGATTGTAGACACACACACACATATGCATGTGTGAAGAGATTTCTGTCGAGATATAGCATCAAATAATTAATTACAATCCGTTGATGACAGTAGATAAAAGCACTAGACAATTGGAGGCTTAATTTCCGTATTTATATCTTCTAATGTAAATATCTTCTAATGTAACAAGAGCTATCTTTCTTTATACAGAGCGATCCGGAAGTTGAAAAATTAAATACATATGTAGATTATAAATTTGATGAAACATTATTTTACTCTTATTTTACGATGACAATCATGTTACAATTTTACGATTTTTATTTATATTTTTTTTAAATTATGACACTTTGAAATATTTCTAAAAAAAAAAAACAATAATTATCTTCTTAGGAGTATTTAGTTTCATTGAAATTATATTATCACGTTCTATATCGTCACAAACATAAATACAAATGTAATGTTCTTCTATTTAAACTGTCTAAAATATCGAAACTGACCAAGATTATACTGATCCGAACCAGTCCGTTTATTGTTGGCAGGTAGTCATTAGATTGGAATTCCATGAAATAATGAAAAATAGGGATAGTAATTGCTTGTAATCATTAATAAATGGTTAGTATCGAAAGAAGGTCGGAGATAATGGCAGTAGCAGTTACGTGGCGAAGTTACAGCGCGCTTCGAAGGAAAGAGAAAATAAGAAGAAAGAAGAGAGAGGAAGAGAGTCTAGATTTACTTCCTATATAATTTTATTCCCTCGATAAATTGGTGATAGTGTTTTTTTCGCCATTAATCGCATCTTTTCACAGGCGAAACCTCGGATCACACCAATGAGAAACTCGTTACAGTATGTGCATGCTCATGTGTGCGTGTGTGTATATCCATCTTCGCGCAATTGCGCAATCATAAGTCGCTGAGAAAGCGCAACGTGCTCTTCGCGTTCTGTTCCTTTACTTCGTACATCGCATCCGTATATTCACCATGTTGCGCGATTAATTGCCACGACATGATACTGACGAGATTCCGCTTTTAATGCGCGAATCACTGCAGTTTTCTCGTCGACACGCGAATCCTCTTCAATCGCGATGACAATCAGTGAATTTCTGAAACTCAAACTGATCGCCAACAGTGACGTACTGATAAGAAAGTAAAATTTTATCGTCCACTTTTATTGAAATCCTAGAGAGATCTTTCGATTTGGTAAATCAAATGAGAAAGTTAAGAATAAAGGACTAGATTTTTTTTAAACAATAACAAAATAGAATCAAGAAGTTATAATTTTTCTAAGCATTAAAATGTTATTAAAGGGATTTTAAGAAATTTAAATCAAAATTATAGTGTCACTTTACAAGTTTCTATAAGTTAATATACAATAATATGCACGCATAACAAATTGTTGGGAGAGAAAACTAATGAAAGAATATGGCAGACATTAGTGATAAGTCAATCAATAATTGGCCGACTCTTGACTCCAACTTAACGGTCGGTCGACAACCGACTCAAGCGTGCGTTTTGCGATGCCTCAGCTCGCACGAAGCGGTCGTCCATAACGAGTGAATAATGACCTGGGTCGCTCTCACGCGTCTGCCTCTCAGCTGTTCACTTCCGCTAGTGAAAGGTGCATGCACTGTAGCCGGGAGCTATGATAAAATGCACTTACGTGCATCCTCATGGCGCGCGTCGCTCAGGTCGAACAAGCCAGCGCTCCGTTAGCGATTGGCAGCGATGAGAAGGCACACTCGAATCGATACGGATTATCTCGATTTTTTTATTATAATAGAAACACAGACCTATTGGATCCATAAAATCATAGTATGCAAAACGTTATGCAATCATAGCGAGAGGTACTAAAAAAGCTTTCGAGAAATCATAGAGAGATATAGTGAATAATTGCTGATTGATCGTGTCTATTTCATCAAAATTCTACGGGACTTCTTAGCTTATATAGATATCGACTTCGAGTCTTTCATTGCTCCGTTATGCAATTCATGTACAACACATGTATATATACACACACACACAGAATTATGCATTCACCACGCTTCATATTATGCATCATACGTACAAATCTAAGCAGATGATTCAATCGATTTTCGAGAGAGAAAGACAGAAACGCAGGAGGGATTCCTAAATGCTTAAGAAAGTTTATTCTCTATTCGCTTAGATCGTAATCGCAATTTTCCTCGATTCGTAATATGCCTCGAAATATGAAATATTTCATCAGAAGAGAGCGCTCTTCCTAGAATTAATAATTCTAGGAAGAGCGTTCTCTTCCTAGAATTCTAGAAAATTAGCTATTCTTTTATTAGAATTATATATAGAATTATATATATATTTTCCCACGAAATTTCATTTTTATCTCTTGTTAAAATTATTTATTGCACTGTTTTACGAAATAAAATTTTACGTTATTCAGACGTTTGAAAATGGAACATAGAATTTATTTCGCACAAATAAAAGTAAACAGGTTTACAGATGTGTAACACAGTTTATAAGAAGTCGAGAAATCGGAATCTGTCACTAACCTTGATATCAAATTCAGAAGAGGAACATGCGATACATTACGTAAAGATCAGAGTGATTCACCGATTTTTATATCTTGCGGCTTTGAAGATTGATATCAAATCTTCTTTGAAATTCAAATCTCAGGGCAGATGTATTTTCGGAATATCTCGATTGTATTCGCGAAATTCGCATATTGTATAGTTGTATCCGCACTTGTTTAATAAATCGTTTAAATTTTATTGTATGATGATAATAATAGATAATAGTAGTAGATGATGGTAACAGTGTCGAAATTATTAGAATTATTTTTAATTCTATTTTTGTTCTATTTTTAAAATAAATTTAGAACAAATAAGTTTTTTTATAAACAAATAAGAATTGTACGCAAAAGAATCAAATAAGTTTCTAATTATTACGAGGTAATTTTTTAATAATTTCGAGCTGAAAATTTTGAATTATAAGAAATTTTGAAAATTTTACTTGTTTAGAAATATTTTTAAAAAATTATATGTATACATATAAACTTTTTGTAACAATTTATAGAAAATGAATTAACAAATTAATGAATATATATATATATATATACATATATTTTTT